ATTTAAAACGGCTCTGCCGCGGCCCCTCTCATTCCCCGCTAAGTATTCTTCCCGCGACCCCAACATGATTTTTCTGCCTCTCAAAAAAACATATTATCTCTTCTTACGCGTTACACCCTTTAAATGTAGATGTCTTTAGAGTCTTTTTATAAGACTTTATATTGGTTTTCATAGTAAATCAAAATTTCAAATGGTAGTGAGCCATAAATTCGTGTTAACTAACCCTAAATCTTATTCTTATTTTTACAGATTGGATGAATTTTCTCATAACTGATAATTTGGAAGCAACCTGAAACCATTTTCATTTAATGGCAATGGTGAATGTTTTTACCTTATGGACTGGTCTAGAAGGAGTGAAAAAATTGTATGATATGCCTTTAACTTCATTTGGATTAACAGAGGAATGTCGCCTTCTCGGAAGATTAGCCATACTTCCAGCCTTTGAAAGGGTTCCTGATCCATAACCAGGTGTTGCTGAAGCAATCAAAATTCTGGGTGGCTCAATGGCATTATCGGAATGACGACGATAGGGAAGATTAGTTTGAACTCGAAGAAGGTTAAGGTCTGGTGAGGATGCATTCGAGTTGATGGTTGTTGTTTTAAGGACATCATCCACCGATATCGACTGACGACGAGTTGACAATTTTAAACATGGAGGTCGATGAGGATAGCCTGTTGGTTGGTCAAGATTATGTTGTAAAGGATACCTTTGGAGAAGGAAAGAAACAATAAAAGAGTGTCATCAAGATGAAATGGTGGTAAATCCTTCATGATTTTACTCTTATCGACTTATGGTAATGTCTGTTTACTCTGACAGGTTGAGTTAATTGAATTGTGTTATAAAAAAAAGTTCAATTGCCAAAAATGGGACAACAATGAAAACCATCAAATTGTAAACAAACCGAGATTGTAAAGTCAAGAGATGTATATTGATTATTCCGTGAGCTGTATATGTTTGTTTAACAAAACATCATCATCACCATCAACCCTGTGCGTTTACTCATTGAAAGATGAGTTGAAAGGCTTACTAATGATAATAATAAATCTTTCGTCAAATGGATGTTGATGTTGGAAAAAAAAGAGACTCCAAGTAAATAAGCAGGCAAAATAAGAGATAAAATTGTAATAAACCTCTCAAAGGTAATGATAAAATAAATTATTGAACCCTCCACCAGTTGAATCATCTTTTCGACTACCTTTTCTCCCTGTTAATCATTACCATTGGTAATCCTGCTAATATCAGCCTTTTTTATTACCAACAAGGAGGCAAACAAAAAAAAAGAGTTGAGTTATTATTTGATTTAAGTGTTGTCTATTAAAAGATATTTAATCTTTCCATCTAAAATTGCTTACAATTCAGACTAATTCCAAAGTGTTTTTTATCTACATTTCAGTGGCACTTCATGTTTACAGCAAATATACAAAATGACGGAAAAGAAGAAGCAAAAAAAAAAATATTCCTTTGGCAAAGTTAAAGGTAAATAAACAAGAGTAAATATTATGATTGATTGTTACCTGAATCACTCTTATTCGTCAACAGAAATACAAAGACTGATTAGGATTATTATTAAAAGAGATGCAGACTAATTGACAAAGAGGATGAAGTAAACTGGAAATGTGATGATGAACAGAGAAAAAGGTTGAATCATTTTGATGAGTTTTCATGTTTTTCCTCGTTATCAAAATTATGAACATCTTTTTTTTCCTGATGAAATTAACTTACTTTTCGGTTGAAAACGTGCTCATTCGTTCCAATTTGAGCTTATTTCTTTGACTTCGGTTAATTTGATCCAACATTTCTTGCAGCAAATCAGCAAGAGTGTTGAACTATATTGTAAATGAGGAAAGTTGATGAGAAGAGAAGAAATTACTATTTTCTCCATTTCCATTGATTAAAATTGCTGCTTTTTCACCATTTGGATATTGAATGGTAATAAAAAGCAGAATGGAATACAATTTATCGTTTCAATTGATTTACCTCTTCAACAGTGATATTGGGTGAAACAATGATGGGAATCAAGGTTGGCATCACTTTGGTTGCTAAAAGATTAACATTGAGTCCAAATCTTTTGTCACTTAACATGTGTCGATAAATAGCTGTTGACATCAGGTGAAAATCAATAATATATTTACATTAAATGTTAACAGTGATCATTAGCAGCATTGTTTCATTGAGTAAACGCGTAAACATCAAGTGAAAGGAAAACATGTTTTTTGTCTCATCTTTTTACATGGTTATCCCATTGAAAAAAAGGTTAAATGTTAAAGTTAAATGATGACAGAAAACAAAAATCAATAGTTGATGAGGTAACAGAATTGATTAACTTTCAATGAGAAAAGTGAACACAAAATTAGCTAATTAAAAGATGAACCATTGGGATGAACAGTAAATGGTCGTTTAAATGGTCACAACATTCAGTCAAATGGCTATTAGGATCAAAGCGACTTAACTGGTATCAATGAAGGTGCAACTTGGTCAAAGCGTTTCCAAAGGCTTATCAAGAAATGTTCATTTCTTGCTTCAAATTAACTCAAATTGAGGTTAAACAAATCTCCATTCACAAAATTATCTTCTAATAGCTTCCATTCAATAAAAGTCAATTCTGTTACAAATCGATATCAGCTGAAAATTTGCTGATTTTCTACTTTTGACTTTATCAAGATTCAACATGAACGAAAAGTAAACTAAAAATTTGATTTTTCAAGTTTTCTGTTTAAATTGATTTTTTCCTAGAAACTTGACTTTTGGTTTCAATAAAGGGAATTCAAAAATTGAAAAAATTAAAATTTTCGAAAAATTCGCCAACTCAGATTATCGACTCTCTAAATTCATGGTTTTTCTGAGAAAGCTTTAAACTCTTGGAATTGAGATTTCGTTTGATTAACGATTTTCCATTGATCTCATCTAGTACTTTTGATCTAATTTTTTTCGTCGGTTGAACGATCGAGTTTTTTCTTCTAAAATTTTCAGATTTTCCGATTTCGAAAATGTTGAAAAGATTTTTGGATCAGAATTTTTAAGCTGAAAGCGAGCTTACAAAGTAGAAGCTAATCGAAAGGAAACTTCAATTCACAAAATTCAACATCAGACTGAATGTTACATTGACTGAATAAAAAATATTAACTATGAAGAAATGGAAATAAATTCAAAGTTTTTGCTGTTATAATGAATTGAAAGGAAAAGTAAAATTTTAATTTTACACTTCTCTTGAATGAAGCGCGTTTACTAATGAAAATTTGATTCGAGTGTTTACTCACCAAGAACAGGTGTCAGAATCGATATCTCAGATAGCTTGGCTTCCAACAGAAGAGGTAAAACATCATCAAGAATCTCATTTTTCTCTAAATTATCAATAACCTTGGCAACACAGTTGAGTATATTGGTTTGAACCTGAAAAAAAGGAAGACAAAAGTAAACAGTTTTTAATGATTGTTTAACCCTTTTCTTTGTTTCCATTTGTTTCTCTTCAACTCAACTTATTTCAATTTACCTGAATTGAATCATTAACTTCAAGAATTTGTCTCGCCTTTGGTATAACAATTTGCTTAATTGTGTTCTCCTCCAAGTGTTCAATTACTTCGGAAATTGCACTAAGAGCAGCTATCTGTATAACGATGAGAATAATTTGAAAAGTTATTAAAATAAAATTGAATGTACAAAAAAAGAAGAAGAAAATGGTGAAAATTAAAAAGCAAAATTAAACATCAAATTAAAGTTTAAAGTTGAACATTGAAATGCTTGAAATGGAAACAATTAATTGTCTTCTAAAAGTAATCAAGTTAACTAGCAATTCAGTCTCATTAATTGCATGTAATTTACCCTTTACTGTAAATGTAAACAGTTGAACTTGAAAAATTTTCAACAAAAAAAACTTTTCTTTTGATATCAATTCATCTGAGGAAAGGTCAATTAAAGTGGTAAAGTTGACCAGAACCAATTATTGTTCAATTATTGATTGAAATTCCCAGGTTAACTTGTGTTAACAATGGCCAATGTCCTAAAGGTTAATGTAATTGAGACAACAAAAGGTCAAATTGTGACACACTTTTATCCAAACAAGTTAACATTGTACAATTTTGGATGAAAAATGTCCATTCAAAGCAAAGACTTTAAGATGAAAAAGTAGCAAAAAAACTAGAGTAAAAACCAGTAAACCGATTTCAACCAAATTTCAGATTCGACATCTTTAGGTCTTGGACATTTCAGATAGAAATTCGATTAAATTTAGTTTCAACCTCAAATAAGGTCATTCTTAAAGTTACCAATCACATAAAATCTAATGATTTCTGACATGAAATGGCAAAAATGGAAAAGAAAATTTTGCAAATTTTTTCATCATTTAACTAAACATTCTTGTAATTGACTTTGATTGTTGGTTAAATTATTGATTGAGTTTTTGCTCTCAATCACCTTCAATTTAGATAATTTGAAATTCGATTCACTTGATCTTCAATGTCATTCCTCGATTGTGTGGCTCAGTTAATGACTTAGTACTTTGGATGTTAGGATCGTCGAGTTACACTTCACCTTTCACCTCTTCTTTAGTCTCTAGAGAAGAGCACTTGCAATGCGTCGATAAAAATTTGGTGATATTTTTTGGGGTTCGTTTTGAGGTTAAAATGCTTTTCTTAAAGAAGTTGGTTCTTTGTTTATTCATAAAGATAAACTAAAAGGTCTCCATGTTCAGTATAAGTGTTCAAGTCATTTATCTTGTTCATTTGGAATTTTGATTTTAGGGGCAATCCGATCAAAACAATTAATGAAATAAAAATTTCAATTAGATTAAAAACTGATAAGAAGTTAATCTAATTTTCACAAAAATTTAATCTCAATAATGTCCATAGGGAAAAAAATTTTAATTGACGACAGGCGCATGACCTAAATGTTGTTAAATTGGTTGATCGGATCTTTGTAAATTAGTGACGTCACAAATTATTGAAATTTTATCTAATCTTATCTTTACAAACATTTTTAGTCTAATTTTTAACTACATTTCTTGTTGATCGGATTGCCCCTTAATTAGCATTTTCGGGTGAAAAATTGAGATTTTCTTTGATGGCAAAGAAACATTGATTATGGCAGTAAAAATAGCATGCAAGAGAGGGTAAACATGATGAATGTTTTCTTGCTCTCAATGATACATTCAAATATGGAGATAAGAAATGGTTCAATGATGAATGATGTTGAAACATTTTTTATATTTACTCATGAAATACACCACAAAAGATGATAGAAGCAATACTCTATTAGCTAGACACACATGAGACTAGAAAGTGGTGAAAATTTTGCTCAAAATATTCAACAACAAAGATTATTATTATTGAAATTAAGTTGATATCAATGCTGACAAAATGATTATTACAGCATTTACATTATCCATTGATAATACTGGGATGTTATTAACATGCAGAGGTAACTTTTTTTATTAAACATTCAGATTCTTTTTGCAACTCTTGTAACCAAGGAAAGAAATTTTTTCATTCAAATAATAAAGAATTTGGAAATTTTCAAATAATTTGATATCGAAGAGTAAAGTGTTTGCTCAAATGGAGTCACCATGAATTGATAAAGCTCGGGAAAAACAAATAAAACTAATATCAACTCGAGATATTCAATTATTGAAAACTAGGTAAACTCATTACATTTCAATTCAATTTTCAAGGTTCACTTTAATCAAATCACATTTGAATTAAACTTGAGGCAAACTTGGAAGTAACTTTTAATCAACAAAAATTTTAGTCTTTAATTTATGATTATTTTCTCGTCTAAAATGAACATGTTATGAACATGTAACAAACAGGAACCGATCTGAAAAAAATTTGAAGCTCGAATTTGAGCAACGCTCATTATTCCAGTGAACAATTTTCTTGATTGTTAAGACAATACCAATTACAAATGAAGATTAATTACTTAGTGTTGGAGATTTTGTACAACGAATTGGGCAAAGAAAAGCTAAATGGAGAAATGAGTGAAATCTTGAGAAGTAAACTGTAAATCTCAAACTGCAAAATGAAGAGACAAACAGTATATTCCTTACAGTGCCTAATCATCAGCTTCAGATTTGCTGATACAGTGATTCAGTTAACCATTTGTCTTCTGAGATGTTTGAAGGAAATCTTGAGCAAAATTTCAAGGTCACTTAAGAACATTCTGAAGCCCTTTCGCTTCAAGTTTAATAACTCTAAGTCTGCTTAACATAAATTTATTTACAAAGTTTTAACTTGGAATGGAAATTTTATTGCAAAACTATTTCAAAGTGATTGAAGTTTCAATAAAAGCTCATTTTATTTAGAATTATTTGTAACATGATAAACATGGTAACAATTTGAGACTTTTATTCGTTCAACACTTAAGTGATAATATGTTCAGGCAAAGTCGACTATTCAAATTCAATTTACAAGATGAATTTCTGTATCATTTACTGATTAATTTAACTTTTCTTTTAATTTTCATCGATAAATTGCATTCAATCAATTTTATTATAAGTCCAAGTGTAAACTAGAAAAGGTTTAAATCTGAATTCTTGAAAGTGAAATAAAAATTTGATAAAATTTAAATATTTTCATTTTCGTTTTTTTTGTAATAACTTTTATTATTACTTTTGTTCTGATAGCTTATTCTAATAATATAACCATGAACAAAGTGAATGGCCACAATGGGAATAACATTTTTTCTTACACTGAATAATCATAATAAAAAAGGCAACTGTGATGATAAAATAAATGAATTCTGGAAATAGTCGAGATTCAGACGATAAGGAAAACTTTTTCCTCTTCTTTCTCTCTCTTCATTCAAATCCATTTAAAATCTATTGAACAGTTGGGAATGAAAATGCTAATAGAATGTTACATCGAATATAAAGTAAGAAAAGTTGAGTTTATATTGAACATTTAAAGAATGGCGAACAAAACTGGAAAAGATTGATTCATGTTATTATTTCGCTCAATTAAGTCGACAAATTATCATTTGTTATCCAAAGTTATTGCAATTTAAAACATTTTTTATCAAATTTTCAAACTTTTCGATAACAGAATATCTTAATCTTTTTATAAATGACATTTCCAGTTCATATTGAACCCATTAGCTGAACAAAAAAATTCACAAATTCATTTCCAAATTGATTTCCAATGATTCAAGTTTTCCAACGAAATTGATTGATCTGAGTTCGAAATTCAGTTTGAAAACTTATAAGTATTTTACTAACGAATCTGGCAATTCTTTGCTCAATAAGTTTCTAAAATTATCTTAAAATTTTCTTCGATTTTTATTCTCATTTGAAACGTGTTAATACGCTTGCATTAAGAGCAAAGATTGATATCGATTGAGCCATTCAAGCTTATAATTGCATCTATTAGGTTGTGATTTGGTCAACTCTTTTGACCACAATCTTGATCTGTGATAATGCCTCTAATGAAACTATAAATAATATAAATTGTCATCTCAATTGGCATTAGAACTGCAAACATTTCTTCGAGTTCTCTTGTTTTTATTACTTACCTGCTGTTACATTATAATCAAAGTTAGCTTTTGATTTGCTTGTGCAGCCTCAATACCTTTTCATACGCAATATGAATGTAAATTAATATTTCTTGTTATCACTTTATTCACATGAAATTTAACTGTGAATATTGGATGAAAAGTGAAAAGGAAAGAGAAGAAAAAACTTCCAGTTGAATGAGAAAAGAAAAAGAAAACAATTTGTTTCATAACATTAACATGATTGAAATGGCTTTACTTTTCTTGGCTCAGATGAGTTTTCATTACTCACCTTGAGGCAGAAAAGCAACTCAATACATGATTAACTGTGCAAAACTAAGAGTAAAAAAAACATTTAGTCAACAGTTAAAACATTAGAAAATGAAACTTGATAGAAAAGAAGGAAAAGTTGATTACATTTTTCATGGTTGACTATCAAATAAACTATCATTTACAAGAATAAGACATTTCCATGTTAATAATTTTATGCCAAAATTCAAAAGATTAGTAAATTGTTTCAACTTGAATTTCATTTCGAAAAGCAAACTCAATTATAGCATCGATTTCAACAGTTCACAGGCAAACATGAAACGATAAAAAATGAGCTTCTCTTGACTCTGGAATGTTTGACTACGAAAAAAGGTAACTCTTGAGCTTTCCAACAGTTGACCTTTCAACTGTTCAGTTATCAAGGCTTCAACTAGGCGAGTAAATAGCAAGTTGAGGGAAATGATAATAAAAATGAAAATGATTTTTTGCAAGAAAAGAAGTGAAAAAGAAGTGAAAAAATGCAACAAAATGTTTTTTTTCTTTTATTCTTTTACGGTTTGTTCTCAAGTTCTGTTGTGTGTTCCAATTGAAAAGTATTTACAGCTTTACGATTTGTAACAAGAATATGAAAAGAAAGGAAAAGAATGAGAAAAGAGTTTCAAAATTGTGTTCATGCAACTTTATCTAATGTTAATATGTATATAACTGTATTCACATTGGTTTATCATGGAATAGGAAAGGAGAAGAAGAAAAAAAACTTTTGACAGATTTATCGTTGAATGTAAAGTAATTCAATCCCTGGAGTAAGAGGAAAGCAGGAAGAAGGAGAAAAAAGTGAAGACTAGAAATGGAAATTGAGAGAAAAATATTTTCCTCAATAATCAGGTTGAATTAGACGAAATGCATTTCTTCTTCTTCTCATCAGGTAATGTGAAAACAAGTTGATAATGATTATTCAAGAGACGTTTGTCAATTGTTTCAATGTTTAACTGTTCGCATTCAAGTATAAAAATTGTTGGCTGGCGAGCATTTCATTATTAGATTGAAGGGAAAAGAGGAAAATGGTTAATGAATCGTTTTCATTTAACTCGATCCATTCAACTTTAAGACTGTTTACTTTATTAAATCAAGTTTTCCTCGAATTTGCGCTTTTATTTCGAGTCTGGACTTGCAATTGTTTTCAAATGGGAAAAAAGGTTAATCTGAGAATTTGGTTTTTCTTTTTTTACTGTCGATTGAAAAATGTAAATATTGAATTGATTTGAAGGGAAACTGGCAAGGAAATGATATCAAAGTAGATTATGTGTTTGGTATTAGAGATTAAATTATTTTATCTGTTTGATTGAATGGAATCATGAGTCGAGTAGTGATGAAAAGTTAGGAAATTGAGTTTATCTTTAAGGAAAAGGTTAAGTCAATTGTCCACTTGAATTTACTTTTAAGCGAATCTTTTTCAATCTCATTTTTGCTCCACTTTTTTTGCAAATCTCACCATTGATATTCAACAGATAACACTTGCATTTTTCATCCAAATCTTCGTTTCCAGTTTTCAATAAAGCTTTAGGTGAAAGATTCAATTGATCTTGAACTTGTTTTCAACTTTTGACAAGAAATGATTTTTTTTTCTTCTCTTTGAAACCTTCGAATGGCTAACTAGTTGCAAGTTGACTTATCAAAAGATATTCAGGTCGATTGATGGATTCTGTTCATTTTTATCTTGATGAAATGCTATTGAGTTGCGAATGCATTTGATTCTTTCCTTTAGCTTGTTCGTCTCAATGGCAAGAGAAAGTAAAGCAGATGAAATGATCTGATTGAAATGTAATGAAGCAAATAGATTATTTGATGAGAAGGTGAAAGGTTGAATGGAAACAGTAGTAGATGGTTACTGAATGAATGAGAAATGAATGTTATCTTGGATAACATTTTTACCTATTAGTTGAAGGAGAAGATGAAGATGATGGGTTCAGGTTAAATGTATTTGCGATCAGAAAAAAGGTATCTAAATATTTTGCTTGTGATCTTTCATTATGGTTGACCATTCATTGGGTAACCAAGTGAAATGTTGAAAGCAAGTAAATGATGAAGAAGATGATGAAAAGGTTTATGATGATGGTGATGATAAGGTTTAGTTGAACGTGAGTATGAACACGATTGGATAGGGAAGAGGGAAACTAGGTGAAAATAAGGAGAAGAAGAAGAAGAAGAAAGTAAACTGGAAAAAATAGATTGTATGATATTAAATGAAGACAAACAGAAACTAAATGATTAAAGTCTCTTGAGAGTCGAAGACAAAAGTAGTAAAAGTCAAAGTAAAATGAGATGAAAGACTTTGATGTGACAGTCTTAAACACATTTTCACCTGTAACTAACAGACAGCTTTTAACCTTTTTTATGTTGCTTCAAAGTTAACGATAGAAGTTTAATTGTGAATAATTAACAATCAAAAAAGGATCTTAATGTTGATTATTCTTTGTCTTTTTGTAGCTTTATGTTACGTCAATGGATGAATAGATGCTTCTTTGCTAGTTTCAAGAGCAAGTTGCGGTTAGTTTTGAAACTTGTGTTATAATTACGATTAGTTGTGAATGAACAGGTGAGAAGAGACAAAATTCCAAGTTGAGAAGGAAATCAGTTCGGCTTTTTTGAGCTGAATTTTCAAGATTAATAGAATCAAATCAGATGAGAAACAATATTTCAGATAATCCAGATTGTGTGGCATGAATACCGGGCGTTTTTTCATTTTAAGCTAACTTTTACGGCGGCTTGCAGCTGTAATACACGATAGATATCACATTCAATATGATGAAACAACAAGCAATAACAGATGAAAGTTAGGAAAAAATAGGCAATAAAAAGATCTAGAGCAGTTTCGATTGGATCAACAAGTAAATTTTTCACTTAAATCTGTTAATAAAAGTTGAAATGAGAAATTATTTTATTCATGTTGTTGATCATTTATGAAATTTTTATCACCCTTGACTTTGTTGGTAATGATTTAGGTTAGATTAGGTTGGGTTAGGATGAGAAAGGTAAATGATGAGCAATAACCATTGAATTAGTGATTTTGGTTTTGAACAAGATTGCAATTGGAAAGAGTTACAATGTAATTGTAACCAATTTTGTGTTTTGTTAAAGGTTGAAAGGAACGTTAATTAAAAGCTTCCTTTGGTTCTTTTGTTGTTTAATCAACACACACACAGTTTATATTCACATACACACCTCATACAATGGCACAGAAGAGGAAAAAAACAGGCAAAACCCAGAAAATGTTTTTTCCTTTCTTTTCTCTTGTTTTTTTCTTCTTCTACCTTTCACATTGAAGATGGATTATTATTAATAAAGTTATATATAACATTGATAAATGGTGAGTAAACCATTGATTCATTCATTTTTTTGTTGAATCATTTGAGCGTTACATCACAACAACAATCAATTACACTAATGATTTGTGAAAGAGTCAACAACAAAAAGAAACAGAAACATGAAAATCAAAACTAAAACAAGTTATTTAAGCTGTTCATCATTTTCAGAACTTTTATCAATCAAAAATCGACAAAATATTCCAACACAAAATCGCTCTTTTCACAGGTTGAATCGACTGAACCTTTAATCGAACGTCGACAAAATTAAAGTTTTTCAATCAAACTCTGATTTCCATAAAAAGGCATTCGACGAAAAATTTTACATGAAATTCGAGGTCGACTTTTACTGGGAGTTTTCACTCCCTGAATCTTTCATTGAAAATCGAATCTGTTGACCTCAATATTTTCTATTATATTGGTGACCTTTAATGAACTGGTCAATGAATGATAATACAAAGTTGTAATTAATGATTTTCAATTGTATTCTCATGGATGGTGAGTGAAAATAAAAACCTGTTTATCTGTTTGCTCTTCTTACAGGGAATCATTAATAATAAACAATATTTCGTATGCCAATGTCAGCCTTACCTTTTGTATAATAACTTTAATAATGGATAGAGAATAGTTTTTATCTCTAATAATATTCATTAATGCATACTTGGCGTGCCAATGCTGACAACCCTTACACTGTTCAATAGCATATCTTTCATCAATCTAAAACCCTTTGTAAAATGAAAGGCAAAAAGGGAAATTCTTAACGTCACAAAGAATATCATTTAAATATCTGATTTCACCACCTTAACGATATTCTTGCTCATAATCGTAATAAAACATTCTTAGCCAATACCAATGAAAGAATCGTGATATTAACTAATATCATCAATGATCATATTTCTAATTCGCTAAGTATAAGTCTTTTCACCAATTACTCTGAGTGACTTTTGTATTGTGAGCTGATGCTTATTGGCACCCAGTTTAATTAATTTTGCTGATGGAAAGTGACTTTGAAAACTTTCACTCGAAATGAAAGGGAAAATATTTACGAATCTTTGGCTGTGAGCAAGTAAATATAAGTTTTTGGATGAAAAATAAATTTTGTTCTTAATTTGCTCTTGATCAAAATTGGATAATTGGATCGAAGAATTGATTTGCCAAAAAGAAACTAATTCAAATGGCAGCTTTTGTTGATTTTATGTGGATAAACATTTTCCAAGTAATAAAAATGAATAAAACATTGTTTCTGTGAGCATATTAAATCGATTTTTTGGATGGAAAAATGATTATTAATTTATCAAATAAGAAATAAAGTTTAAAAATGATAACAAAATGAAATTCGAATATAAACGATGTTAGTTTTATGTTCAATATAAATATTGAATATGTTCAGTAGATATGTGTGGCAAGAGCCCAAAGCGAGTTAATTACGTCAGTGAGATTTCTTAATGTTTGACTGATATTCGAAGGTCATTTTTCAATGATCGCTATCTTACTACACTGGTCGATGCAACTTAACTTGCTGTTGCTGTTGATTACTGTAAATCGACAGAGAGTCACAACCATACTCGTCTTACTAAAGGATACTTACAGACTTACAGCATTGAACATCAACCGGTGCAGCAAAGATAATGGTCTTCTTAAAGTTCCTTTCGACTTTCAACTATCGATTAAAGATAAAATAATCGAGTAATTTTGAATGACCTTGAAAACCTGAAGTTTCTTCACCCATTTCTTCATCTTATCAAAGCTCATGGCTAACCATTTCAAAACTGGTTCAGCCAAAGTGAAATGATTGTAATGCAACTTTGAAATGAAGTTTGTGCATAAATAATCATTTGCGCATCTGAGATGAGTGGCAATCAACGATAGAATCAAACAATTGTTACCTAATTATCGTGTTTCTACTAATGTAATTGATTGAAGAAGATGGTTAAACATATTGACCAACGAATCTAGCCACTTTTCTAATAAAATGCGCAAGTGATGTATAACTTTATGCACAAACTTCATTTGCTACATCTCTAAATATCACAACAGATAGACCCTAAAGGTGCTGACTTAAGCTTCTTTTCACCCTTGCCACAACATTAATGGCAAGTAAATTCATTGTATCAAAAGACGGTAGCTTTAATGATTTATGTTGAGATGAAATCTTACCAATTTTGCATCAAAGTTAAACTCATTAATTTTCAAAGTTGATGCATCATTGTTCAGAATTTAAACACAAAATGAACACTAAACAATGACTTATCAAAAGCTAATTAATGAAATGATCAAAGTTGATTTGATTCCATAATAAAAGTTTCTATTTTACCTCAAATTCACCATGAACATTTATTAATGTTGAAGATTAACCTTACACTAGCCACTGGTGAAGCATGATTAGTGCCAATGATTATCTTGAGAAAATGTGTTGAAAAGTGATAAGCAAGTTTCTCTTACCTGAACTTGAGGTTGACTTGAATCCAGGGAATTAAAAAGCATGGGCAGAATTTCATTTTTAATTTCATGTTGACCACTTTTCCTAATCAATATGTTAATATTTTCTAATAAAGTTACAGTTGCCTGGAAAAGAATGAAAAGATTAAAAGCTATTAACATGATCAACTGAAAATTAAAGGTTCGTTATAAGTAAATGCAATTTTGTTTCAATGCAACGATTTTGAATGAACTTTTTCGTTTTCCCATTTAATCAAGTTGACACTTTAAACCCAAAATTGTTCAATTCATTCAACTTCATTATCAAGTGTGTCAAAATTTGTCAACATTATCATCTTAGGAATAGAAGAGGAAAAAAAGGATGAACTTTATCGATTCAGTTTTTACTTTTCATCAAGAAAATGAAGTTGAAATCGAAAGATGGTGAGAGTGGAAAATGAGTTTCACAGTTGAACAGTAATCAAATTAAAACCAATTTCATGTTAAATTGATTAAGAGAAGGATAAAGTTGAATTTATTAAGATTGATAAATGGCAATTGTTTGTATTCAACTGGAAGAAGAAGCGAGTTAGCAGTTGATTGAAAATAAATGATTACTTGGATAAAGACTAAAAATAGTTTTTCTTTTTATCATGATCATGATGAGGGCATGAGAAGAGTGAAACAGTTTTTTTTCTGGTGAAACAAAACTGTCAACTGAGTATCATTTAGACGTTGATCAGTTGGGCAAAGAAAATGATATTTTTCCAGATTAAACTCACATTCACATTTTTACAGTCTTTTCACTTCTCAACAGGTTTTTTCTTGCTGATAACTTTATCATGAATGATGATGGAAATCTTTGAAATGTTTTCAAGCTCAAGATGCAAATCAATCAATTTTACCATTTCAATTGAATAATATGTTTTTTCATTATTTACCTTTGCTCTTCTTGTGCTGGATTCACCAGAAAATCAGACGAAAAGTATTAGCCTTTTATTCAATGAAAGCTTCCAACTTTAAATCTCAATTTCGTTTTCTTTCTTTTGCTTGCGTTCATTTAACTTTTTTTTCACTCCCAGTTTGGATTATTCTCAATGGAATGGATTTAATATTTTTCTCATTTTTTTACTTTTTCCTTCAAATCTTCTTTTTATTCATGCCATTTGAATCTCTCTTTTCATGGATAATTCCTTGAGTAAAGATGGATTCGTTTCCTACAGCCTACTCAATAAGCCAAAGTCAAAGCGAAATGATGAAAATGTTTTTACCAAAATGATAGACAGGTGCTTGTTCATCTCTGTTGCATGTCACTGATAGACTGTGAAATCAATTTTCACTCTTGAAAAATTCGATAACAATGCAAATAACTTTTTCCTCAAAGTTGATGTTGAGTTGTATTGACCAATTCGTAGTCAAAGCAATGTAAATAGCACCAGCGAGCACAAAAACTGATATCGTAGCCAATAAACAGATCAGGTTACTATAGTTCCTCTCATCTAAGGTGGCATAAAACCTTGAGTCATCTAAGGTAATTTTCAGGGAATTTGATCTTTAGTGGTCACCTGAAGGGTAAAATCAAAATTTCTGCATCTTGAAAAATATTTGTGAAGTTGCAACATTTTATCAAGCTTAATTAGGGTGATAAGACGAGTAACGTTAAAAATCGGACAAACACTGGATTGACCTTCCCTTTACCCTGGAAACCCTCGTTGGTGGTACCACAATCACCATGACAATAGAAAGATTTTTGGTCATAATACGTATTTGAATCTAAAGTGTAACTCAACTACAAAAAGCGAACTATTATTATTAATAAATCTGACATTCACCTGGTTTACATTTAGTCTTTATGTCCATGACGTTTGGAGCTAAAAATATGTACTTTGTTCTGGACCATTCACTTAATCCTTTAAGTCCTAATCTCTACATTAGCTACACCTACATACTGCTTGCATCATCATTTAAACTTTAGAACTTTAACCTATTTTTCAATAAATCCCAAGTCCGTCCAACTTTTCTTACTTTTAACATTAACTTGAAAAAATTGTTTTTATTCCTACTAAAATTACTAGTTACATTTAGTTGGTAATTAAAGTACAATTACAGTATTTATGGCAATCCGTTACAATTGCGCAAAGATCGCATTCAGTGTGAAACTAAGCTAATCCAGATTACTTCCAGTGCATTGAAAGCAACCTCGAGCTATCAATTATATTGAGCTTAATTCATGTTAACTCAGTGTCCAGTCTATCTCAAGTTTACTCTATTCACTTCGTTCTTCAACTCCATTCTATTCTAATAATTTCCTATTCAAGCTTATCCACCTTTGCAATAGTTAAGGTTTTGGATTAGTAGTTGATTGTTGGAGGCAAATTCATAGGTAAATGATGAGTGTAAATAGGATTAACTGTTGAGGTTGAATCTGATCTGTCAGTCAGTTAAATCTGTTTCATCAATTACAATCAATCAAAATGAAATCTTTTTTTTCTTCTCATCGTTTCATTCCCTCTTCCCAAACATTGCATACATGGCAGAATCTCTCATTTGAATTGCTGCACCTTGATTTGGTTATTTTTTTTCTTTACCTCGTTTTCACTTTGATGCAATTTTATTGGGATAATCAAATGCTGCATTGAGCTTAGATTAGTTGAGTGAAAATAAATTGATATTGTACCATGAAAAATCTGTGTGAGTTTTCCAGGGTTTTCCAGATTTTGTCACTTTCTTAGTTTAGATGAAAGAAAAGGTAAAAGGTAATTGTAAAGATGTAAAGACTCACATGGAGTAAATTGAGATTGAATGAGTTTCAAGAATGTGTGATAATGGGGTGTAAAGGGAAAAGGAAAAGGAAGGCAACATTTTGCTGTTTCTCTTTTTCGTTACCTTCTTTTTCCTCTTCACCTTGAAATCCTTTTCGTCTATCTGTTCCTATCAATATTGATGTGAAAACATAAATTGCAATTGGTTTGGAATAGCATTTTAAATGCATGTGTGTGTCACCGATAAGGTAAGATATGAAAATGGAGTTTCCATGAAAAAGAGAAAAAGAATCTTGCCTCTGAAAAAAATCGATATTCTTTGTCAGATTGTCGAGTGAGTCAGGTAAAGATAGTAAGGTAAGAATGGGTGAAGATAAGAGGATCAAGGTTAGTAAAGGTAAAAGTGAAAAGGTGGCTGAAAAAGAAGAGTGAAAATGTTTAATAATACAATCATGATGCAGGTTATTCTGACCCGATAAACAAGCAAATGTTTTTGTTTTCCTCTCAACTGAGCAGTTCCATCATTTTTTGGTGTAAAAATGAAAATGTTTATTCCATTGTTCCATGTAACCAGAATTGCCTCAAAGAAAATTGACTTTTCAATTTGAGTCGATTCAAGGTACAAGATGATTTACTTTGAATCAGCCTCGAATGGTAAATGAAACATTTCAAGAAATTACTTTTATTCAAAAGTGTCTCAATAGATGCTCGAGTTTTCCTCTTCGTCTCATTCAATGGCAACCTCAAGACTGTTCATTGCAATGCTTCATCAGGCTTTTTTTGTTACTTCTCATTGAGACCTTGTTCAATGTTTCCTCATCAATTCTCATGAACTTTTAGTTTCATCAATTTTCATCATTCACATCTCTTTGCCTGCTTTCGCTGAAAATATTGATGCTAATATACTGATAACTTTACTCAGGGAATATCATGTTCACTCAAAGTCATCTTTTTGTGTTCAACTGTTTTCTCGTTCTTTTCATCGCTCAATTTCCGTTCGATTAACCTTTTTTGGTCACAACAAAAGTCAAGGTTCAAAGTTTCTCTAATCGATAAATGCTGTCTCAAAACTCTGATTATCATTCAGTTTTCAAGGTCTTACGGTCATCACGAACTGTCAGCTTCTTTTACTCATTTCTTTCTAAAGTAACGTCAAATCGTTCGCTGACTGAGAACTGATTTCGAAAACGATTTGAATTTGATCGATTTTCGCTGGTGATCTGAAAGCTCTGTTGAATTTAGCTGAAGAATTTCAAATCTCTTTGGAGTTAATCATTTACTCTGATAAAATAGTGGATGAAATAAGCATAAAATGGATACATATTTATGCGAATAACTTTGTTTGTATGCAAAGTACATGAAATGATAACATGATATTGAATCAGAACATTCCTAAATTGGTTATTAAATGCTTCATTTAACTGTAACTATTGATTATAAGAATAATTCTCAATTGATAACATTTCTCGATATCAACATATCTCATTCCATCAAATTATTATTGCCATAAAAAAAAGCTTGATCAATCACATTGTCGACCAAATGTTGACTTGAACCTCTCACTGGAACTCATTGGATTTGAAATTGACACGCAATCAATTTCATCTCATCTTTACTCAAATACCTGAACATTTCATGTTATTCAATGTTTGCCTTTGCTATCTCTTTCCCTTTGCCTCACAATTTTGTGATTCATCTTGAACGAACAGCAAAAAACGATCACTTAACATGTAAGGCAAAAAATCAATTGACCATCAAAACATCAACATCGACTTTTCATCATCGATTAGATGAAAATATAACGAGAAAACGATATCAAACTCGAATTACAAACATTCAACATTTCAATCGTCAATTCGAAGTTCGTGTTTAATTAGAAATCCTTGCGAAATGAACCAAGATCAAAAATTGAACAGAAAAGTTCCCTCAAAGATTATGCAATAAAATCAATTTTTCAAGCTTTTCTCTTCCAGCATGAATAAGTTCGAAAAAAAGGAAAAAATTGATAGAAATTGATTATTTCAATATTTCCCAATTTTTCTATTCTAAATAACAGAACTTTTCGATTTCTGAATAAACTTTAAATTATTCAGTTTCGACTTGAGTTTGAATGATGAAAAGAGAATTTCTCGAAATGAAAATTTCCAAGAGTATTCATAAATTCCAACAAGAATTTCATTAATCGAGTAAAAATTTTTCATCGCAACAGAAGTTGAATGTTTATTCCTAAATTGTGTGAACAAATTTCTGTAAATTGCTTGTTAAATTGCCAGAAAGTGGATAAAATTATATTCATTTGCTCAAGTTTCACCTTTTATCATGACAATCATAATCGCCATGAAAAGTGTAAACAATTAAAAAGTAAACTCTGAAGGTGTAAATGAA